CCGGTGGATTCTGGAAGCTGGGAAAGGCAACAAGTGGATTCTCCCTTAGAGGTTTCAGAAAGAATACATGCCTACACACACTTTGAATTTAGTTCAGTGAAACCCACTTCAAACTTCTGACCTCCAGAAATGATAAATGTGTGTTTTTTCAATCCACTAAGCATTTGGTTATTTGTTACAGCAGCTATATGAAACTAGTACAATAGTACTTTGTCATTTTCCATCGAACTTAATATGATGTCACACAGACAATTTGTTTATTCAGTGTTGAATATGAATATTGAATGAAAATGAATAAGATACTTAGAATTTGTCACTTTCTGGATTTTTACATGCAATGAAATTCAGTCTGATGTGTTCAATAGTAACATTTCTGAACATGGAGAATAATATGAGACCTTTTATTTGGGATTAGGAGGTGCAACAGAAATTACTTTTCCAATAAATCAATGGACTTGATCCGTCTATTTATTTTGCCATCAGCCCAGTTACCTTTCTGTTCTCCAACAGTCTACTAGAAAAGCTTGATTATTGACGATGGCTCAGGTCCTTCTCTTTCTTCGGTGGCCACAGCCCTTGTGCCTTTGCCTTGTCATCTCCCCGGGCTTGACATGCAAAAACTGTGCAACCAGCTAGGGCTCCACTGGGCGCAGAGTTCACTGGCCGAGGCCTGCAGGCTGAATACTGTGGTTAGCGCCTTCTGTGCATTAAGATTCCCATACGCTCAGTGCCTTTCAGTTTACAAAGTGTGTGATTTCATTCATCTTCACAGTAACTTGGTGTAGGAGGTATTATTGCCTTCATTTTACAGTTAGGGAAATTAAAAGCTAAGGAGAGTTTCCAGGTAGCGAATGACAGAAAGGAGATTGAACAACAATCTCTTTAATTCCTGATTCAGTTATAAAACTCATGCAGTTCTACTATATCACAGCTGTCCCTGCCATTTTACCTCAGGGCCATTACGCCGATACTCCAGATACGTGTTCTGCAAGCGCGTTTTTAATGACAGCGTACCATATGCACATTATAAAGTAATGTGGGAAACAGAACGGTACGGAGTTCTAAATCATTGGTAATCTTACTACTCACAGTAAGATTACTTTTATTCTGTTACTGTTTGGGTATATTTCTTTCCAAATATCTTTTCTGTGCATTCATCCAAATATATTTCTTTTGACATGTATTTTTATTTAGACTTTTGTATCCCATTCCATTTTTATTGTTTTGAGTAAAGTGAGGGGTCATCGTAGCCTTATTTAATTTAAAATTGTACTATATTGCCTTTCAGTGACCTAGTTTTCCTATTTATATTAAAATATAAATAAAGAATTAGTCCACCCTTCGTGAATTAAGCATTTTGGGGGGGATTAGAGCTGCGCTTCCCAGTGCAGTTGGGACCCGCAGCAGCAGCGTCACTCGGGAGCTTGTTAGAACAGCAGGTTCTCCACTGGGTCAGTCTCTGGGGTGAAGCCCAGGGACCCCCGTCTTAACAAGCTCTGCAGGTGATTTTCACCCATGATAAAGTTCAGACTGAAGCTCTGGTTTTCCACGTGTGCTGATGAGGGAAAAGCAGCTAGTAAACCTGCTGTGTGCTGGGCAGAGTAATTGTCACCCTTGAAGCAAAAGAAATAGCTTCTTGCTTGCCCAAATGTCCCTCCTCCGCATGCTTTCAACATCTTCTCTTAGGCAGTTACTTGGGATAAGGTCTCAGGCCCTCTGAAATCCCTGTGTGCTTAGAAATGCAGTAGTTACCTCCACTTCTCATCATCCAGTCACACTCTCATATGCATATGAGCCAACCCATCAGAATCAGAGCAGGACGAAGGGGAGGTGCATTTCAAGTCTCACCTACAGCTTTCCTTAAACATCTAGCATGTTAGATTAATACAGAGTAGAAAGGCAGGATACGTTTTCCAGACTCTTCCCGCAAGATAATTCACAATCTTGTTAGGAAATACAGCGTTCATATATGGAATTTAACAACAGTCAATCAAATCCTAAAGTGACAGTAAGCAAGCATTACAGTGCGTGAGATGAGCAGTGTGTGCCCTGGACTGTACCGCAGGCGGGACGTGTTGATTAGGGAAGGGCTCCCTAAGAAAGGGGGAGTGTCAGTGGGACCTAACTAAGAAGTTATATTACAATGAGCAGTCCATCTAATTAATTACTGTACGTACAATACTTATTCTCCAGACAAAGCTGAATGAGACTGGGTATCTGTTATATAAACAGGACTTTGTGGAGTCAGAATTTAAACCCAAATCTTTTGACTGAGAGCCCTGTTTGTTACCACCTCTGCCTTAAAATTTACCTCTGACTGAGACGTTCTGTAAATTAAGAGACCTGTAGAACACCACGGATAAAGGCAACCCCAGGATGGGTGAGCGTGAGTTAAGCAAGTTTCTGTGTCCAGTTCACCTGAGCAGAGAGCAAGGTCTACACTGGGAAGTTGCAAAGACCAAAGGAGACCTGCCAGGCTGTGGAGGGTCTGCGTGCATGCGTGATGGTCTGGCATGTGCTATCATAGGCGCTGAAGAACCACTGCACAGTTTTTAACGCAGTGAAAGCAATGTTTTATGACTAGACTATCTTTGGATTAAAAAAGCATAATTTGGTGGGAAATGAAGGCATATTTGGGTAGAACAATCAATTAATAGTGTGATTGTTGTAAACCATACCAGATGATAAGGAAAATGACTGGGGTGTTGGCAAGAGGGAAAGAGAATGGTTATTAGATATTGGAAAAGAAAGGTGAAGGTTTTTTAATGGCAGATTGGCCAAAGAGACTAATTGGAAACCTAGGAATTGGAACCTGCAGTTCTGGATGATTGAGCTTTTCACAAAAGTTGCAATAATCTGGAGAAGGATTGTCAAAAATTAATAAGGCAGTTTTTTTTTTTCCTGGAGATTGTGAGTGTAAGTCATTCTTTACTCTTTTTTTTCCTGACTACTTCACCCACCTGGGCTCCCTGTCCTGATGATTCTTAAAAGCATGTGAATCAGTCCTGTCTCATATTGCTTTATCCTTCCTCGTAATCTTACATAGTGCTGGTCATTCCTTCACCAGGCCATGGCAGGTGCCGCATAAATGCTGTTCCCTTCTGAGTCCCTTCCCTGAAATCTATGGTTTTGCTACAAGGAACTTTCTTTCCAAAACCTACCTCAATTATGGCATCTTTCTGCTTAAAGTTTAAAAATACTTCTTCACAATCTTTTATTGCATTACTTACTTTACTTGGTATGGCATTCAAAATTAGTCACCATAGTTTATTATCCCAATAAGACAACTGAGAGATAAGTCATTACACTGGACAAAAGGTATGTGGGCTCTGCTTAACTTTCTAGCCACAGCCTCTTCCAACAGCACTTCATGCCTGAGCAGTGCCCAAGTCCTGAGCGAGCAGTCCATGTGCCAGAGGTCCCTGATCTGTGTGGTTCACAGCTGTTGGTATTGCCTCCTCCGCTGCTTCACACATCACTGTGTGCTCGGTAACTCGGAAGGAAGGAAGGAAGCCTTAAGTAAATCAAAGCACTTTAGAATTATTTTAGTTTAGTGTGTTCTGTTGTTGAAATGACATAGAATTTAAGGTCTAGCCCCCTTGGACAGAGGAATGCATGGAGAACCAAAGGGAGGCACAGAGCATATGGTAGAGAAAAGCAGAAAAGGGAGGTCCTGGAATCAGACCGCCTTCTGAGTAACTTAGCGAAGTAGGTGCTAGGAGTCTGAGTTCAAGTGCGCTTTGCCGAAAGTCTCCCCTTATCAGACAGATAGTTTTTTTTACCAGAAATAGTCCTTAGTTTTGTAAAGAGATCTGTCAAATTCATCATAAATGTCAGTGTAAAGCTGTTAAAAAAAAAGTTTCACAGTAGTGTTTTACAAGTTCCAGCTACAAAGAAGATACGTAAATGTGCATTTTGCACTTCTGAAAACAGGTGCAGTCTCTGTGAGAAAAGAAAATGAGTCAGGGGCATGGGAACAAAAAGGGAAACAATGGACAAGGACCTACAATTTAATTACAGAAACGTCAGCTTTCTACAAAACGACATTCGATGTAATTAAAGCACCTGTAACAAAGTGAAGCAGAGACATTTCTTCCTTTTCTCCTGAAATAAAGGAAAATCAGAAACCACATGCTATTTGTGGAAAATTTATACTATATGCAAAAAAGTGTCTGTATGTGTGTGTGTGTGTTTGAGAGAATGAGAGAGATTTTCTCTGATCTCTTAGTAGCCCAGTAGTGCAGATAATATTCATAATAAATTTTCGGAATAAAATCCCTTGCTGTAAGGAGATGATATCTGTAAGTAAGTGTGGATTAAATATTTTTCAATGATCACGAGGCCCAGTGGAACAAACATGACATGTATTTAATGATGTATTGATTGTTTAGGCACTTCCCCAACCATAAAGCCACAGCGGGAACCCACTATCTCTGTCTGTTACACCAGAAGCAGTGCTTGTAGACTAAGCATTGAATGATGAGTTTAAACGTAGAGGAGAGAGCGGCACCCTCTGTCAGGAGGCTGTGCTCCTCCCGCGCGGTGGTCCGCCCGCCTCCGGTCTGTTACTGGGCGCTTACCTGGGGAGCCGCTTTTGTTTTGGGTGCCGTGCTCACGCAGGCTCTTTCCTTCCAGCCATCTACGAGCCTTCCTGTGAAGCGTACAAACACCTCGGCCAGACGTCCAACTACTACTGGATAGATCCCGATGGCAGCGGACCTCTGGGGCCTCTGAAAGTTTACTGCAACATGACAGGTAACTCCGGCATCTGTATGTTTCCTGAAGGTTGCTTTTCTGTGTGCTGCGGGTAAGCAGCACCACCGAAGTTTGTTTCTTCCGCGCCGTGTTCTTACCGCAACAGGCAAGACGCTAAACGTGGCTGGATCTGGTAGGCTAAACGGTGAAATGAATTTCTAAAGCCGTAAGACCGTCTGACACTGGGTTTTTTTAAAAAACCTGCCTTCTGATTTGAATAGTTAATAATTAGCATTGAAAACAAAAAATCAGTATGCAGTGGAAAAACTAGAACGGGAAATTGCAAGGCTGAAGTCCCCAGAAAGATCCAGACCATGAAGCAGCCTCTGCAAGAACCAGGCTGAGGAGGGCTAGCGGCCCCCGCCCCGCGACTGTCCACACTGCCGTGTGAGAGGAGACCTGGGGGCCACTCCAGACCAGTTATAGAAGGAGCCGTTCTGGACACCGAAATTCCTTTCTGGCACCAGCAAAACTTGGCTGCTGCTTTTATGAGATTTATCTAGGGAAGAGAGCCTAGTTTCCCTTCACTTCCATGTTAAATTTCAGAGCCATGAAATAAGATTGGGGTTCTTGTAAATTCCCGCAGTGGTGCGTAGGGTGCACAGATCCCTAAGATAGGAGCTGATTATCCATCAGACACGTGGTAATGTCTTACCCTCCAAAACCCTGGGGAAGCCTGGGCGGCGAGCACGATTTCCTGGTTCCAGGAGAGGATCAGCATTTGATGTGAACTCCTGAGGCATATGATGTTGAGGATAACGATTATATGATGCCCGGTTGATGAGTGCAGCATGGACCATTTACCATGTGTTGGGTACCACAGTAACTTCTCCACTCAGACACCCTGGGTCTGTATTCTGACTCCATTCATCACCAGATGCATAATCTTGGGCACCGTGTTAACTTTATTGAACTATATAAGCCTCGGTATGTTTTTTCTGTAAAATGGATTAACAGTGATATCTCCCTCACAGCATTATTGTAGGAATGAAGTAAGATAATCTAAGTATGGTTCTTAGCATATTTCCTGACACACAGTAAGCTTTCAGGAAAGGCTCTCAGGAGTGAGGTGTTATTATTTCTTCAAAGAATTAGAGAGTTAAGTTCCTTGCTTACATTTTTCAGGCAAAATTCAAATTCAGATGTTTGAGGCCAGTGGTTCTTCAGACCAGCTATGCTTCAAAACATTTCTGGAGTTTTGTTTCTCTTTCCTTCTTTCTTTCTTTCTTTCTTTCTTTCTTTCTTTCTTTCTTTCTTTCTTTCTTCCTTCCTTCTCTCTCTCT